TTTATATTTTAATTAATATTAAACATAATATTATTAACCTTAATTTCATCAATTCCTCCATCCATCCATTCCTCCCTCTCTCCCCCTTGTATCTCTCCATGTGCGCCACGCTGCTGTGTGACGCTCTGAACACGACAGCGAATCCTTCGAAAAAATCAGCCTGAAATAAATCTGATCTCGTTTTCGGTAGTGAAGAAATCATTTTGCCCCAAATTGAAATCAAGAAAACCATTGTTAAACTGAGCGGCACAGCAGCAAATCCTTTGAAAAAATCAGCCTGAAATAAATCTAATCTTGTTTTTGTTGGTGAAGAAATCATTTTACCCCAAATGGAAATCAAGAAAACCACCGTTAAACTGAGTGCCGCTTTGTTCAATCCGCAACAACCCTTCAGATGGGCAAGGATAATTGCAAAACACATTGAGTTTGGATATGGACATTCAATAATGCATCGGCTTGTGTAGTGGGTGTGTGCAGTGGCGGATTGGAGTCGCGATGATGGTGTTGTGTCGGGGTGTGGTGTGGTGGTGGTGTTGATGCTGGTTGTAGTGGATTCAGATCTGGTAGTTGTTGTTGGTGGTGGTGTTGATGATAGTGTGTGGTTGAATGCGGTGGTGGTGCTGTGATCAAGTATTGGTGGTGGATAGGGGATCGGGGGTTGGTTTTTTGGTCTATGTGACCAACTATTTGGTTATTTGTGACTAACCGTTAAACCACGACCTTAAAATTTAATAATTTGTGACCAAAAATTTGAAAATATGTGACCGATAAATAAACTGTGACCTATAAATTTTTCGATATGTGACCAACAAAATAAACTGTGACCTATAAAATTTTTGATTTGTGATATCGAAATAATCCGTAACCAATTAATTTGATAATATTTGACCAATAAAAGTTGTGACCTATAATTATGTATCTGTGACCATTAATTATATATTATTATATTTAATTAATAAAAATATATTTAATTTATAAATAAATACCTGATTTTTGCATTTTTTAAACTTAAAACCTGATTTTTACATTTGTG